TGCATTTTCGTTTGCAGTGCGTTCATATGGCGGATGAAACTCGCGACGTACAGACACGAGGCACCGTACCAGGATTCAGTTTTTGGGGATTGTTTCAGCAGTAGTGGAAACTGTTGCAGCTCCCCCCTCTCCCATTTTCCCGACCCTGTACTACAGTTTGCGCACAAATGCGCATCATTGGAGAATGTTGGACTCCACACCTTGCAGACGCTTGTTTTGTTTCATTGTAGAGACTGAAGATGTCGGCCAGGTATGCTGTTTTAATCCAGAATGACTCAGTCACTTGCTCTGACAGTGGCGCGGTTTACGAGTTTGTAGAAACTCTTCAATTTTTGCTTCAGTTCTACAAAGCGTGCCAGCACTCGGCCGCGGGAGAGCCCAGCGCACCTCGCGTGTGCAGGAGGAGGGTTTGGCGGCGCTTCATCCTCGCACAAGTCTGCGAATAGACGCTTGTTTGGTGGGGCGACCTTTGATGAAATCTGAACTATATTAATAACAGTTGAGCAAGTGTTTCACTGACAAGCGTCTTCTGACAGTTTCTTGCTGGCCAGGGCGCTGGCTCTCACGCGGCCGATGTACTCACAAACAGTGAAATTTGTAGCAATGTGGAACTTATCGCTCTTGTCAAGCAAGCGGACTGTTAAATTCCCTTGGATTTTCCTCCCATCATTGAGGCAAGCTCCGTCTGTGCAACATGCAACTAAATTCTCCAATCTGGAGAAAGCTGGGGATGAGACGGTAAGAATCCACTTGCAGTAAAACAATGTCCTCACCCCTGATAACGGTGAGGTTGACCGGACATAGAATGTCCGCTTCAATCTTCCGGTGTTCGTCCGATATCCCTCCATGAACGAGAGAATCTCTGTGCAACCGAAATGCATCACTGTTTCTGCTGACATTGCAGATTGTATCTCCTTACGATTTTCAGAATTGACGGTTTAGATATTGTCACCTAGAGGGTCTGGAATAGCTTGCGTAGTGAGCCACCAATCCAAGCTGAATCGCTGTGAAAGCTGAATACGCAAGCTTGAAGCAGAAATAGCAGGATTCTCAGATGCATAATTTTAGTTCAGATCATACTGATTGCGACTAACAAGCCAGGATAACTACCCCAATCATATATTGCACATAAACTAATCAGACAACAGCCCTATGTCTGCTACAGTTTTGGTTTCATCAAAATGATATGCACGCAACAACTGGCCTTTCCAAGCTTTTCGAGCAGCTGCAGCCTCACAGTTACTGGGACATTCCATCTTGTTCAATTCTGCGTTCACCCATATAGGTTGACAGTGGTACCCTAGTATTTAGTCATCTTGCTCGTTCCCGCTAACACTGCAGGCCGCACAAGCATTTTCTCAGCCATCTTAATGCCAGTTGCTTAATGAGCTGTTTATACCGCCAATGCCATATGTGCCAAGTTATTCAAGTTTGCTTTGTCTATTTTTAAGTGCACATTCCAAATAATAGGCATGACACTGCCAGTTAGTACCTAAACATACAATGTCTGTAATAACAATTGGCTTTAAGTATAATGCCTTTGCAAGTGTGTTGTGGTTCTTTATGAAAAAGACTAATCTCCGAATCAAGCCGCTTAGCATTCTGTAGATGCATTGACGATTGTTATCAACAATGACAATCCGCTTTACTATGTAGCATTGGTTTAAACAGTGCCTTCGTGAATCTCGCTTCCACTCTGCGCCTCCTTTAATATCGATACACGCTGGGCGATCCATATTCATTCACATGAGTCCGAAGTTACCAAGATAGCCACTCAAGGTAGGGCTCCCAATTTCGCTTTCATCCTGCTGATGAAATACTGTCATTCATTCCAGTTTGTGACAGTATTTTCAGACATTCTTTGAGACTAAACTAATAAACCGCTGTTGCCGTGTGATGTGTGTGTGTGTGGGGGGGGGGTAACCGCTGTTACCAGGCACAGCTGTCATACGCGACCTAGCCCGACTGTACTACTATTATGCGAGAAGCTGACGCCAACAGTACAACGACAATATGCAACTGAATAGGAGAGTATCACACAGTGAATGTTTGCATTTTAATTGTAGAATAAGACACAAAAAAGACCGGATAGATTCATGTATTATTGTATATGACCAAGTGACTTAACTATTATGCGACAAATCTATTGGTTCTTTTATTTGGGTTTAAGTATATTGTCAGAATAAGTGAGACATAGAATTAACTTATGATATGCAAAGCTATATGCATAATTTTTGCGCATACATTCCAGAAAATATGTCAGTATTAGCAACTGCACACAGAAGTTAAATCCATTTCTTTTGAGCTCTGCGGCCCAACGCACGTCGTCAAGTGTCTAAATGTGGGTTGCTCAGGTACACGCACAGTATTGGCTGAGTATCGCAGACATGACGCACATGCAGAGGACACTGATCGGGCAGGGGGCGCAGATCGGCATACAGCGATAAGTACAATTCAAAGTTTGAGGGGTCGCACATTCCACAGAGTCATTTGCGAGGGCCATGGTGAAAAAGTTGGGAACCCCTCTCTAGACTGCAAACTTTACGCGTCGAGCTGGAGGTTGATCCTCAGGACCACATGGTCAAAAACTAAACCCCTGCTGAATCCTTTTTTGAAAAGGGGAAGCACAACCGCCCTATGCTGGCAACTCCGCTTCGGTAAATGTCCGACTCGCACGCAATATTTGACTCCAGTAGGTGTGCGAAGAGGACGGCTTTGGCCTCTCATTCAGAAACTAAACACAGCATTCCTCTGGCACGCTGCGGATCTCATCAGCGCCGAGGAGCATTTGTTCCACTGGCGAGGTGAGACTCTCGACTGGCGACCGCTACAGTGACGCTCCTGCGCTGGAGATTAGGGTTGATCCCCATGTCATACTGCATGGCTGCTGCCCTCTACGATAGAGGCCGTAATAAGACGGTTAACAGAAAGCTTGGCTCAAAGTGTGCACGCTTCGGAGGCCACTAACCACTCCGCACGCCAGACGCAGTACAACCGACGGTCCGCACTCCTTAGGCGTATAACCAGGCTTTGGTGGTTCCGTCTGCTAGGCTGAGGCGTGCTCTGAGGTGTCGGACAGTTCCGCAGCACTTAAATTGGTGTCAGCCCGAAGAGATCCATCAGTCCAGTGGGAATCCTGCTGACCACTTGCTTCGCAGCCACCTCCGCAGGCTTTGAATCTAATCACTGGCGTGAGGGTTATGCTGGCCGATTCGGGCTTCACCTTTGATGGGCTTCCTGTTGGCCGACACCATTTAAAAATGTGTTTAATTCTTTGGGAAAACTACCGTTATCCAACGGATAGTACATTCTCTTCAGCAGTGGTGGATGTAGAGGCAGGGGGGTAAGGTAAGATCAAGCAGCCGGGGGCCACAGTAACTTTCAATGTCGAGCAAAGGATATGGCTAGATGAGAGCTCTGGAGAGAGAGTGGTGGAGCCAGGGGATTGGCAGACTCACCAGGAGAGCCGAGATGTTAAAATTTTCAAAGTTAAAAACTCAGTCTGTCTACCGCTGGGTTTTGTCTGCTCAGGATGCCTGGGTCAGATCCGGTTTCCAGAAACACCGTAAAATGATGCTCCTGCTCACGTTTTTTTGGTCATAACACGTAAAGAATGGTCAGAGGAGGCTGATGCACTCCTGCGACCAAATGCTGGCAAAGCTGCTTCAGGGATCTGCCGACAATTCGTCAGTGTGCTTGGATTTTACAAAGGAGCTTTACAGAACAGAGTTCCAGGCAGAGCTAGAGGTGGCCAGTCATTTATGAGGGCCCTTCCCTAACTCCCTGAGGAGGACCATTGCTGAGTGGAGCGGAGCTTCTGCCCAGGAAGCTGCAGGAGGGCTGCAGGCATAGAGGGGAGGCTCTGATTAGAACGCGCCACAGGCTTCTATAGGCTCTCTGGCCGTTATAAGGTGAACCGACCTGCTGAGTGTGCTCCAGAGACAGTCTTAAGTAACGGGAGGTTGGCCTCTGAGTTGCAGGAAGCAGCGTGTGCCTCACTATCCTCCCCTAAGAACGGAGACCTGCAGGAGATTAAGAACGGCGTCCCCCGTGTCTCACTCTTGTACCACTGACTACAAACTGCTTTCACAAAAAGGTTTGTTAGCGACGAGGCTGAGAAAAGTGATGGGAGCAGTGTATTCACGTAGACCAGAATATGTGTACCCAGAGCAGGTTGATAACTGACAACCATTGCTCCTAATTCGAGATGTTTGGAACCCTCTCCGTTCATTGGGCTTGGAGCTTGGTCTGATTTCTTCTAGACCGAGAAAAGGCTTTTGGAACGAGTTGAACACCAGTACTTGTGGCAGACGCTGGAAGCTTTTTGGTTCAGCTCGGTCTCATAGCCCAAAGATCCAGGTCCTGTACAGGACATTGAGAGTGTACTGGAAGATAAACATAGTTTGTGTGCTGCCTTTTGAGCTCAAGAGATGGAGTCCGACAGGGCTTCTCTTGTCCCGGGATGCTTTACTCCTGGCCATAGAGCCGCCTTTTTAGCACCGGTTAGGTCAAAGTGTACAGGGTTTCTCTTTTCCCGGCGTAAGGCGATGTTTTTAAAATTGTCTGCGATGCGGATGACATAATGGTCTTTGTTAAAAAACAAGATGACATCAATGTTTTAAACTGAAAACTGTGAGCAAACTTTTTTGCTAAATCTCATCTGCTCGACGTCCAGCTGGGGGAAAAGTGAGGCCTTAGCAAGTAGGAGAGGGAAGTATTCACAGCTTTGTGTTACGCTGGGGGCCTGGTTGAAAAGGGCCAGGGGTAAAGTACCTGGTATTTTATCTTGGTGATGACACGTTTTGTTTGAAAAACTGGGACGGGCTCTTATAGAGAAAGTGCGAAGGCCAGTTAAGAAGTGGATTCCTTCCCAAAACTTTATTTTTTACAAGGCCGTATCCTTATTTTAAACAACCTGCTTCCCTCCATGCTGGCTCAGCCGGCTGGCATGCCACCGCCCCACCCCGTAAACCTGCTGTCCAGGGTGCAGGCCCCTCCTCATGGTGGACTTCTTCTGTGACCGCATGCCACTGGTCCCTCAGACGTCCTGTTCCTGCCAAAGGAGGAGGGACGACATGGCCTGGCTCACCTGGCAAGCAAGAGGGGCCTAACTTCAGGGCTCCGGTTTCGGTCCAGGGTTCCCTGACGGAACCTGCTTGACCGTGGTCTGGATGACCCCGTAGCTCGGGCCCTATTGGCAACGCTGTGGTTGGGCTGGGTCGGCTTGAGTCGCTGTCCTAATGGGACCTAAAAGGCACTTACCCTGAAACAATCTCCTCCGGGTTTTCATGGAGAGTCTCCTTTCAAGATGGGGGAACCTACTTCCAAAAAGAGAGAGACCAGAGTGCTGTGGCTCACCTGTTCCTGGCTCCTCAGAGAGCCAGGTGGTCCGTGACTCGTTTGTGTGTGGAGTAGGGCCTTCAATCCTACAACAGTAGACCTCAGAGGAGAGGATCGCTCACGGCTGGGCCAGGCGTGTGGAGGTGTGTGGCCTCCGTCTGGCAACGCTGAGGCCTGGCCTCAAGTTCTGAGCCTCAGGGTCAGTCCGGGTGGTCAGCCTCCGCTGCAGAAGCTGGAAACAGCAGCTCAGCCAATCAGAGCTGGCGCTGATCGCTGCTCACTGTAACGGACTGAAGCCTCAAAACAATGACTCTTTTCCACGGAGATGCAATGTTTTTACAGTGTCGGGACGCGGGGCGCGGGTTTTTGTCCTGTAAAGTTGGACAATGTTATGCGATTTTAAATTTAGCCAAATGCCCAACAAAACATTTTATTATTTGGCTGCACAAAGGTGATGCGGCGAATCAGAGCAGACCTCCAGGCACGAGTGACACCGGTGGAAGCCATCGGCGACTGAGGTCAGAGCGCCGAGTGGAGAGCGCTCTACAAGCTCGCGACTAAGAGGGGGACCTCCAGTGGAGGATCTCCACGCCTGCGGTATGTAAATCGCGTTTCTGGTCTTAGTCTATCAACACCACAGTGCGTCTGACGCTGCGGGTTTTTCTGTGTACAACAATTTTATGCTCTTACGATAATGTGGTCGATTCTTGGCGTTTTCCAGTTAGCTCCAATCAGATGTTTGCGGAAAAATTTTCGTTAATGGTGGTTTTTTCTAAGGACAATGTCCATTTTGGGTTGTAAGGTACAGGTCCAGAAAGCCCCAAAAACGGGAAAGTACGCTTTAGAAGTTTTTTTGTTGGGCAGGCTACACATGGCCTTTACTCAGCAGGAGGATAAAGTTGCGGACATTGGTTACCGATGCAGTTTTCGCATTTTCAAGCGAGGTTAAAGCAAAGACCTGAAAAGCGGACCTACCGTTACTTTTGCTTAAAAAAAATGTGCGGAGAATTGAGGCCCATGCGTGGGTGCTTTAAAAATGCTTTGTTTTGGGGCGAGAACGAGGATCTATGTGCAGTCCGTGTCTGAACTCGCACATGTGTGTCCAATGATGTCGCCTTTGACTTATTTGGCTTGTGAATAAAAGTGGTTTGAAAATCAAAAAAAATAATGCTCTCTTTAAAGGGAGCAGAAGATTTCATCCTTCACTTGCATGACTAATAATAACATCCGTTGCTCTGGAGCAAATCACAGAGGACGAGTCGTCCCTTAAGATTGTTATTCATTATTATCATAAACCAATTATTTAAATGTGTTTATAAATTCGGCATCATGATTAGTTGCGCTGACAGCGTCCACAACACTGCTTCCCCGCCATTCCTGCTTGATAGTGACGAGCGTCCACAGAGCTCCTCCAAACCCCCCCCCGTTATTAAATTCTGATCGTTGGCACCGTGATAACAATTCTTTAAAAGCGAACTTCATATCCAAAAAGGTTCCGACCCCTGCTCTCCTCTCTCTCTCTCTCTGCGCTGCTCTGCACACACACACACACACACACACACACACACACACACCACCACGAGATTGGCAACATTTCAGAAGCTAGAGGTGGGGGAACAAACAACTTGGTTTCGGCTGGGCATGTAAAAAACCTCCTGCTTTGATCAAGACATTAGGGAGCCTTTC